TGTTAAAAGCCCAGTGATAACAGCTTTATTGATCATGGTCACCTGCCACTGAGTTGGTGAGACTGGCTTGATCATTTAAGGGGGCCTCGCGAGAGTTTCCTGTTAAGTTCTTCAGAAGTCACATCTTGCTGGGAGGAACTGGAGGACACTTTGCACAATTCTATGTGCAGCTAAGAGCCCATGGGCTTACAAACAAGAATGTTTCCAAATGCTAGCTTGCACTCTTGTATGCAATATGTGTGTGTGTGTGTAACTTTATGTAAAAACCTTATTTGATATTCTCTATGGAGACTGGTGAATCCTCAAATTGTGGTATGTTTCATTGTTTATTCAGCTGACTTGCAGAAGTAAGAGGAAATTTTGCACGTCTCATCTGTAATATATATGTGTATGTACATATACATCATACACTGATTTTTACTTCTGTGAATTTTTATTTTTTCCTCTGCAACCCTAACACAATAAATGCTTCCAAATTTTGGTTTACTCCTTGATAAGGGCTGGATTACAATGATGAGTACGCGCCAGAAATTAAATTTAAAATGTCACTTCCTATAGTGAATGTTTATTAAATTTGACTGACTAGCAGTCTCCCTTTCCTTAGGGAGTCATTTCACAACCTCATTCTGAAGCACATCACTCCCACGCCCCAGGGTATTAGCTGAGATCCGAGGAGAAGCTGGCCCACTAGGTCACATGATCAAGATGACTGCTTCTGGGTAAGAATGAGTCATGTCTAGTTGGCAAAGTCATTCCTTCCTAATTAACTAGTGTCTAAATAATTAAAGAAATTGACCAAAAGAGAGAATGGAGATAATCCATAGCTTTATTAAATAGAAATATAGAATCTTGTTGGGTCAAAATAAAATCTTGCCTCATTTCCATATAAAAGAAATCATAAAATTCATGGAAAAGATATATATGATGATAAATGCTCAGATTTCAAAATGTTTTGCACCAAATAAATTTATCTCATATTTCTAGGTTGCCAGAAACTTTTTTTTAAGATATATCTATTTTTATTGGAAAGTTAGATTTACAGAGAGGAGAGACAGATCTTCCATCCACTGGTTCACTCCCCAAGTAGTAGCAACAGCTGGAGCTGAGCAATTCTGAAGGCAGGAGCCAGGAGCTTCTTCCAGGTCTCCCATGTGGCTACAAGGTCCCAAGGCTTTGAGCCATCCTCCACTGCCAGGCCACAGCGAGCAGGATGGGGAATGGAGCAGCCAGGACATGGACTGGCACCCATATGGGATCCTGGCACATGCAGGGCAAGGATTTAGCCACTAGGCTATCACATCAGGCCTGCTAGAAATTTTTGAAACCCTCCTATTAATAGAAAGCTGAATTTAACAATTATCTTGTTTCAATTCTCCTATTTTACAAAATGAAAAGAATTTTCAGAAAATAGAAACTATCCCCGCAATATATCTTATATGCAACAAAGTTGGAATGAGATTTCAAGCTGTCTGACTGCCAGATAAATGTTTATTAATGTTCATAAAGACTAGATTAAAAGAAACAATCATGCTTTGCTTAGTTTACCTAGTCAAAAGACATCTACTGAGATGGGGAAGAAAACTATTCAATTTTAATTCAATGCTACCTACAATGTTTTCAAGCCCAACACAGTTATTACAACAACTTACCAATAAAAACAAAACTGTATCTGTCTCACATGTAGAGGGAACAGTACTCTAATCTATTCATCAAGAAAATAATAACTTCCAGAATTAAACTTATTAGCACAACACACACACATATGATGTGATTTATACATTTATCATGCATCATAATTTCCAGGCATTTTTACTTACATACTGCCAATTTGAGCAAGGGCTTAGACTAGTATCTAATAGCATAACATAGCGAATTAATATGTATTAAAGAAATAAAAACCATCTTCACAATGCTCACGTGAGAAGACTGAATTGTTTCACTACTGTCTTAGGGCTCAGAAATGTTAACTGACTTCTTGCTGTTACAAAGTTAGAAGCTATGGAACCTTCTGAGAAGCAAGCACTCTGGCTTCAAAATTCCATGGTGGTCTGATTAGCATTATGTCTTCTGAACAAATTTTTCAAAGCACATTAACACTAAAAGTCATAATAAATAACTAGTAGAAGTCTCTGATTATCAAGGAAAACTGTGAATGCTTTTCTATTTTAAAAAAATATCCAAAAATTTGAAGTTTATTAATGAGGCTACTTCAAAACACTAATGAAGAGCTAAATTCAAAGATGCCTATTTTGGTACCAAACATTTTTTAAATCCATACATAGTTTTTTTTTTCACAATTACTGATTTAATAAACTTAATACATCTTAAAGATTTATTTATTTTTATTGGAAAGGCAGATCAGATTTAATGGAGAGAAGGAGTTAGAGACAAAGATTTTCCATCTGCTAGTTCACTCCTCAAATGGCCACAATGGCAGGAGACAAGCAGATTCAGGAGCTTCCTCCAAGTCTCCCATGCAGATGCAGGGTCCCAAGGCCTTGGGTTGTCCTCCACTGCTTTCCCAGGCCACAACAGGGAGCTGAATAGAAAGTAGGCAGCTGGGACATGACCTGTGTAGGATCCTGGCGCTTGCAAGGCGAAGACTTAGCCATTGAGCCATCACCCCAGGCCCAACTTTAACGACTTTTTCAGGCCCTCTGATATGCATGAATTGTAAAATACGTTGGCACCAAAACAAACATGTTTCAATCTATGGTTTGAAAAATCATTACTCTTCCTCACAGAAAAAAAGACCCCCCCAAAAAAGTTTAAACTCTATGTTGTTAGAAAAGTCTTTATCTTACTATTTGTTTATTTTTACAGTAATTCAGAAGGTATCAGGTTTTTTTAAGGTAAATATTCACATTATAAGCAACCAATGGATATTAGCCGGAACTGGGGACAGACCAGGCAAGGCCAGGATGCTGAACCCCTGGTTAATACTGAGGTGAAGAGGGCCATGCCAGACTGAACCGCAGCACCCACAAACACACATGAAACCTGATATGGTGGAGTACGAGCCTACTACTAGGGGCGCTGCATGGGCTCCCCTCCTGGGCTACTGCTCCCACTGGTGAACATGAGAACTGGGACTGGGGGCAGACCAAGCCAGTGGGCTACAATACCTGTTGGCCTGCATATGAACTGAGTTGGGAGAGCCATTCTCGGCTAACCAACTGTATCCATTGGTCCATGCATTAGGTAGAATAACTGAAGACTGGTTGGCTTTGCTGCAGCATCAGATGACAAGTGCTTGGTCTATGGGCAAATCCTGTCAAGCTAGATTGCAGAACCATACGGAGAATGCATGATCTGGGACTGGGGTCGGCCCAGTAGGCAAACTTTGGGTATCTCTCTGCTGGACTGCAACTCACGCTGGTGAGCATGAGAACCAGGACTGGGAGTGGGCCTGACTAGACAGCTGGTGGCATTTGCGTGAATGAGTATGGGCTCAGTAGTGGGTTCAGTTGGGTTGAGCTAGGTTTCAATGAGTGAGTTATTCTGACTTGGCTGGAGTTCCTGTTAATATCTGTGAGGGCCAAGGGGTGGGCAGGGCTGGGCTGGGCCACAGTATCCATTGTTACTAAGAGATGAGGCTAGAGATAGAACTGATCCAGCAATTGCAACTACCAGTGTGTGTGTGTGTGTGTGTGTGTGTGTGTGTGTAGGCGGATGCGGGTGACAGAATGAGCTGGACCATGTACTGGTAAGCACACAAAAGAGTCAGGTCTGATATCACCTCAGATAAAATTTATTTCAGGATTCCCCCCAAATGAACCACCAGACTTAGAACTCCAACCATGGGGATTCACAGGAGCTGTGTTCTGACCATGGAATGCGTGTGTCAGAACTTGGCCTCTTCAGTGGCTTAGAACAGTGGATGGCATACTCATATGCACATGGAGGATATGGCAGTCTGTTGGGACCTGCAGAGGACAAATGGTACCATAGCAGAGGAAGAAGGGCAGAACAAATTGGTCGACTATCCCAGTCAAGTGTTGACAGCAAGTATCTGGGCAAATGGAGACTCTAAGGCAGAGTATGTCAGCCAATGGACCTTGGAAGGATTTCCTCATCCCTGGAGCAGCAAGATCGAGAGCAGTTTAGAACCATTGAAACTACTTGAGTGGAACCCTTGGCGCATGCTCCACATCGGGAACCCTGGGATAACTGAAGGGGTTGGGAGGCTGGGTGTAGGATATCTTCCTTTCTCCCCCTTCCTCCAGACATCAAGAAGAAAAAAGAATGTGTAAACAATGTTCTCACCTACTTTTCCCAATCCTCAACCCTTCCCACCCCAATCAACTATGTAAACATCACACACACACACACACACATCCCTCTGGAATCCTAAATTAGAATGAGGTTCTTTGGTCAGACAACATTCCTCTTATGTAGTAACAACTCATTTCCAGAAAGATTTAGCATGTCTTGTGTGATTCCACAGGGCGATGACTCATAGAATCCTGTATTCCATTTCCGCCACAATTTATCCCATGTGTCTTTCCCCAATATGAGTTTGGTTTTACATCATTACAAATGACTAGGTACTGAGTCCAAAAGACTTTCTAGTGGAGAAGCACAGCTGGAGTGTGATCTTGGGAATGCCTAAGATTTTAACATACAGAATTGCTTTTAACAGTATCCCTAGTGTTTGAATCATTGTTATATAACCATCATCAACTTGCAGGTTATAGATTTAAGGACACAAATGCTTTAAATCCTACATTACCCCCAAATTACTCACTTTCTTAGATGACTTTAGAAATGATATTCAGAAGACAACACTCATTTTCCAAAAGTTCAAATTTTTTCAATTTCAAATACAAACACGCTAACTCTGAGATTTTATTATCTGATTGTCAGGTATTATTTCTGCAAGGTAAGTGAGAGCAAACCCACCCTTATCTTAAAAACAAGATAAACAAATCTCAAATTTGAACAAAACCATTTTCGGTCTACTCCAGGCTAGGCAGTGTTTAAAAGTGCTGCATTCTTACCATGGGGAGTGATTGTCTGCACGGGCTTGGTGGGGGACTTCACATTCCAAATTGTCAAGGTGCCATCTGAATGACTGCAAATAAACTGTTTTCCTTCATGATGCCAAGCAACAGAGTGTATAGCCTATAAAAGAGTGAAGAAGTTCACATTTCTTTTGATACATATTTAAGTGTCAGACTATTCATAAATTGATTCATAATTTTCATCTTGAACTTTTTAAAACTTTCTAAGCTGAATGCAGTATGTTAACATTACAGTCCATAGTAATTTAGTGCTGCTGCACTACAAATGAGAATTTTTTACTGGTACTTTAATTCTGTTATTTATTTTATTTGCTGTCTAGATGAGAAAGCTATGATGGTGCCCCATGTAGCATTGGTGAGAGCCGGAAAACAGACTGTAGCCTTATATTTTCTTAAAACAAACCCTACTTAAACAAATTATAAAGTTAAGAGCAATATCCCACTGGAAAAAACTATCTGTATTGACAGACTATAATGAATTTTTAAATGCTTATTTTGTTTATTTACATAAAAGGCAGAGGTAGAGAGAAAGAGAACAGGGAGGACAGAGATCTTTCATCCACTAGTTCAGCTGCCAAATGGCCACAACAACCAGAGCTGAGCACATCTGAACCTGGGATCTAGGAGTTTCTTCCAGTTCTCCTACGTGGGTGCAGGAGACCAAGGTCTTCACCCATCCTCCACTGCTTTCCCAAGCCATAACTCGGAAGCTGGATCAGCAATAGCAGGCAGGACTCAAACCAGTAGCCATATGGAATACCAGCTCTGCAAGTAGAAGCTTGCCTGGCAACACCACTGCACTAGATTAAAAGAACGCTGTTAAATCAGCTAACATCCTGGAAAACAAACTGTAGATCTGCTTGAATTAAGACTAATAATATTCTTTAATTGAGCTTGAAAACATGTTTCCCATTTCTCAGGAACTGATTGCTGAAATAATTTTATGTGATTTATTTTTTATTCATTTGAAAATCACAGTTACAGAAAGAGAAAGAGAGAGCGAGAAAGAGATAAACAGAGATAAAAGATCTTCCTTCTGCTGGTTCACTCGTGAAATAGTTGCAATGCTGGAGCGAGACCAGACCAAACCCAGGAGCTTCTTCTAGGTCTCCCACGCAGGTATTAGGGGCCCGCATGTGCAACCAGAACATTAACAGGAGCCCATAGAGGATGTCAACTTTAAAGCTGGTGGCTTTGCCCATTATATCACAATACCAGCCCAAGACAGGCTTTAATCTCGAGAGAACAATTCCTACCAGGAAAATTATATTTTCTAGCCACTTAAAAAACATATACACAGGGCCCGGCATAGTAGCTTAGTGGCTAAAGTCCTTGCACGCACCAAGATCCCATAGAAACGCTGGTTCTAATCCCAGTGGCATCATGTCCCATACAGGTCCCTGCCTGTGGCCTGGTAAAGCAGTCAAGGATGGCCCGAAGCCTTGGAGCCCTGCACCTGCGTGGGAGACCCAGATGAGGCTCTGGGCTCCTGGCTTTGGATGCTCAGCTCCAGCCGCCACAGCCACTTGGGGAGTGAACCAGTGGACTAAAGATCTTCCTCTGCTTCTTATCCATTCTGTATATCTGAATTTCCAATAAGAATAAATAAAAGAATGTAAAATTTATAGTGTGTTATTATCCTATCTTTTCAATGTTTTTCAGTGTGTAGTTATATATTTGGAAATACCTTGGTTTTCAAGGTTTGCTTTTGAGGTTTGTTAACCCTCCAAATTCTAAAACTTTCTAGGTAGCTCTTGGCTCTTCAGCACCTTGATTTATAACCTACCTTAGCTTCTTCCAATCCCGGACTCTTTCTCTTCAATGCAGGGATACTAAGTTTAAGCTTCTAAGTGCTAAGACCTGGGGAAGTCTCTCCATATCATAAACTGATGGAACTAAGAGGATGTTCTCCTTGTTTGCTTGCCCTCCTAGATGAATACTGCTGAACACTACCTGCTGCGTAACTGCTAAAAGCTGCTGCTTCATACACCATGTACTGCTGCTTCATACACCATGCACTGCCGCTTCATACACCATGCACTGCCTCTTCATACACCATGCACTGCCTCTTCATACACCATGCACTGCCTCTTCATACACCATGCACTGCCTCCTCATACACCATGTACTGCCTCATCATACACCATGCACTGCCTCTTCATACACCATGCACTGCCTCTTCATACACCATGTACTGCCTCTTCATACACCATGCACTGCTGCTTCATACACCATGTAATGCCTCTTCATACACCATGCACTGCCTCTTCATACACCATGCACTGCCTCTTCATACACCATGCACTGCCTCTTCATACACCATGCACTGCCTCTTCATACACCATGTAATGCCTCTTCATACACCATGCACTGCCTCTTCATGCACCATGCACTGCCTCTTCATACACCATGCACTGCCTCTTCATGCACCATGCACTGCCTCTTCATGCACCATGCACTGCCTCTTCATGCACCATGCACTGCCTCTTCATACACCATGCACTGCCTCTTCATACACCATGCACTGCCTCTTCATACACCATGCACTGCCTCTTCATACACCATGTACTGCCTCATCATACACCATGCACTGCCTCTTCATACACCATGCACTGCCTCTTCATACACCATGTACTGCCTCATCATACACCATGTACTGCCTCATCATACACCATGTACTGCCTCTTCATACACCATGCACTGCTGAACACTACCTGCTACGTACCTACTAAAAGCTGTTGCTTCATACACTATGGCAAATCTAGGCTGTCATTCTAAAATGACTTAAACAAAGATTACTACCTAAATTCATAAGATGCAAAACTAGGAAAGTCAATTTTAAAAATCTGCTTTCATTTTAGCACAGAAAAGAGAGCAAGTAAAAACCTCCAAAGAAATGAAGACAATTATTCAAAATATTCTCTATTCCCTTTTTTATTTGAAAAATTTTGATCATTGAACAAAAAGTAGAAAAAACGAATTGTCCCTTGGTTTATGTTAACAAAGAAAACATGTAAACATTTTCAAAGTGTTTAAGTCAACATAGTCTGCTGAGTAAATATATCGATAAAAAACAATGTATTTTGTCTTAAAAGCACACAAATAAGCAAAATCGTTTATATTTCCTAGACTTAGCTCTGCTCATTGATAACTAGAAACTACCTGGCACCCAAATTATGGTTGCCAGATTCCATTTCACAGGCAAATTTTGTTACACCAAAAAAACCAAAGAGGCCAAACAGGACAATTATGATTGTCACTGAAGGACTTGCGAGGGGGTTATAGGAGGTTCATGGACCAACAACACAATTTGAAAACTGGGCATATTCACCTTGATAAACTAAAGCATATCAAATCTGTTTAACTTATCAAGCACCTAATAAAACTAAAAGTGACCACAAAATTTACTAGGAGAATGATATCTTTTTTTTTAAAGATTTATTTATTTATTGGAAAGTCAGACATACAGAGAGGAGGAGAGATAGAGAGGAGGATCTTCCATCCCATGATTCACTCCCCAAGTGAGCGCAACGGCCGATGCTATGCCAATCCGAAGCCAGGATCCAGGAACTTCTTCCAGGTATCCCTCACGGGTGCAGGGTCCCAAGGCTTTGGGCTGTCCTCCATTGCTTTCCCAGCCACAGGCAGGGAGCTAGATGGGAAGAGGAGCTGCTGGGATTAGAACTGGCTCCCATATGGGATCCCGGGCGTTCAAGATGAGGACTTTAGCCGCTAGGCCACGCCGCCAGGCCAGGAGAATAATATCTTTAGAGTGAGTACTAAGATAGTGAAAAGAACCAAGCATTTATCCTGTCTTTGTTATCAAAACTGTATAACTGTAAAACAAAAACCAGAAAAGAGGAAGTTTCTGCTGACTAACGGGTCCTAGCTCATTAACAAAGCAGCAACGACAGGGTACAATGTTTCCACCACAACTACTGTATACTAATAAATCTGCTGAGTACCACTGGTCTGCCAACAGGAAAAGAAGATGAGAAGGTTCAACTCTAACAGCATCAGAGACAAGTGATGATGCTAAAATGGAAAAATGAATCTGAACTGATCGAGCCTCTGCAAACTATCAAATTTATCGGAAATTCACTTTATATAGCTGTCAAAGACAATAGGAGGGTCTGTGTCATGGCACACCAGGTGAAGCTGCTGCCTGCATCTCTGGCATCCCACCCATACGGTTTGGGATCCAGCTGCTCCACTTTCAATCCAGCCACCTGCTAAGAGCCAGGGAAAAGCAGTGGAAGATGGCCCCAGTATTTCAACTGTGCTACCCTCGTGCAAGACCTGAGGGAAGCTCCTACCACTGGCTTCAGTTTGGCCCTATCTGGGGAGCAAACCAGTGGATGGTCGGTATTCTCTCTCGGCGCCTCTTTCTGCCTGTGACTCTGTAAATCAATCTCAAAAACACAACAAATAAACAAACAAAAACAACAGCTTTGTAGCCAGAAAAATTCACCATTTAGAAAACTTTATCGTCAATAAATAAATGACCAAAAAAGAAAGAAAAAAGGTCTATCTGTTTATAAATGCCCGGAATCTCTGTAGAACAACACTTTTAACAATATTTGAGAAATTGGTAACTCGGAGCCTACAGGGGATTCAGATGTCCATAGGTAGCTAGGAAATGTTGACATCTTTTCAACTATGTGAATATGTATCTTCCAAATTTTACTATTATAAAAGTAAACTGTGTGTTTCTGCAGTTTCAAAGCTCTCCCAAACTAAAATCATCAGTCATGTATTTATAGCAGTTGGTGACTCAGAGAAACAACAGCTTTATGAAGACAAAAAATGTTACCTCATCATATGTGTATCTGTAGTCGGCTTTCTTTGATTTCAGGTCCCATAAGACTACTGTTCCAGATTCAAAGCCAATTAGCAGCTGTAATAAAAGAAAAAGCCACATTATCTAAGAATGGCATCAATTATATAAAATATATATTTTTTGAAATGAAGATAAATATTGTTATTCATAAGCCTTAAGTATAAAATTATAATTTAATACCCGTGGTGCTAATTACTAATCACAGAGATGATAAAAACAATGCAATTAATACTTACATATTTTTTATGATCAAGTAATCAACATTAGATTGATTTTTGAAAAAAAGTACCATAGTTTAGTGTATATCTATACTAACATAAAATATTTTGATAAATTATAAAAATTAAGAATTTATAACCTATCCAAATTCTTCATTTATAAAGATCAATCTTATCTTTATGTTGAATAGTTCCACATCAAATCAGCCTAGAGTGCTCTCACATGTTTCAGACACATCTCCAGTAACACATACTAGAAGCTCCCAGTGCATGTGTTCATGGAACTTGCACTCTCAACCCTTCCTCTGGCATTCCTCCTTGCAGTAAGGCTCTCAGCACACCATCACAACAACAGGTGCTCAAGCCAGAATCCTAGCGATCATCCTTAACCACTGCTGCTCTCCAACACGCAAAACCACCAAGTATATTCAAAATTACATTTGTCATTTCTCTGATTACTTTCTTGTATTGCCAGATCACTCTTCTGGTTCAAGATACAAAGGTCTCTTCTGGTTCTGATTCCAGTGCTACTCCCATGTTAGCCCCGTCCATACAGTAATACTAAATCTAAAAGCAAACCTAATGGTATAATTTATATTTCAGTCTAAATCACTTTAATGCCTCATTATTATTTTAGGATACAGTCTAAACTCAATTAGTATCTATAAGATCTGTATGACCTTTCATTTCTATTTTACCATTTTATAAAAGCAATAAATACGTGGCTTGTGTTCATGCAATCTGGAGACAAGACAATGTTTGGGAATACTGAGTAATTTTAATACAACAGAAATTTAGTGTTTTTATACTGTAAGGAAAGTTGGATGGCTAATTGCTGCAGCTAATAAAAAAGTTTCTCCCACTCTTCCCAAACCCAATATTTTCTTTAGCAATATGAGACATATATTCCTTCTAGGAAAAATTGGTATTTGCTTCTATTTCCTAGGCTTTCTAAGTATTTTTAAAGATTTGTTTATTTTATCTGAAACCCAGAGTTACACAGAGAGATCTTCCATCTATCTAAAGGTTCACTCTCTAAATGGCCAGAGCCAGTCCAGACTGAAGCCAGGAGCTCCATCCAGCCAGGCTTCCTATGTGGGTTCGAGCATTCAGCCCACCATCCCTGGCTTTCTTAGGGTCACTAGCAGATAAATGGATTGGCAAGTCACACAACTAACCCTGAACAGGCACCCAAATGGGATACTGACATTACAGGCTGTGGCTAAACATGATATATCTTAGTGTTAACCCCATTCTTTCCAAATATTGTGTATTTTCAATACAGTAGTTTTAAAATGGGAAGTAAGAAATAAGGAAAAGCAAGAAACAGAATAAAATTTATGAATTAATGTTAAAGGCCAACAGCATTAGTTGCTCAGCAGATATACAACCTGAATTTTAGTCTTAAAACTCTTACTTAGTATCCATGCAACTTAAAGAAAATGATCTTACCCACGTAGATACTAATGAATTAAGATGGATATAGTAAACTTTAGTCTCGCTAACCAACTATAACATCCTAATTAAGTTTTAAAAGTGTACCAATAAGTTATACTTTAATGCCAATAAATTACTTGGCTTTTCAATTTCTTATACTATAGAATTATAATTAAATATTATGAGACAGAAAGATAAATGAAATTTATAGTTCCTAATTAAACCTTAGAAATTTCCTGCAGGACATACCATAACACCCTGAACACGCCTGATCTTGTCTGATCTTGGAAGCTAAGCAGGGTTGGGCCCGGTTAGTACTTGGATGGGAGAAGTTTCCTGCAATGTTCATCCTTTCTAAAATCTTATAACTCAGAAAGGTGGGAGGGAGAAGGAAAGGAGGAAAAAAGAGAGAAAGGGAATATCATGATGGTCTTAAAGCCCTAACTATAAACCACATTGAATTGCTAAAAACCAATTAAAAATTAAAATCTACAAATTTTAGGGCCTGGCACAGTGGCCTAGCGGCTAAAGTCCTCGCCTTGAACGCGCTGGGATTCCATGTGGGCACTGGTTCTAACCCTGGCAGCTCCACTTCCCAAGACCTGGAGGAAGTTCCTGGCTCCTGGCTTTGGATTGGCTCAGCACCGGCCATTGAGGTCACATGGGAAGTGAATCATCAGATGGAAGATCTTCCTCTCTGTCCCTCAATCATCTCTGTGTATCTGACTTTGCAATAAAAATAAATAAATCTTTAAAAAAAATTTACACATTTTAAATAAGTAAAACTTTAATAACTCATAGAGAGGTTAACTAGTTTACATACTATTAATTGATTTTTCTCACAAAACAATGCGCATGGGTACACTAAGAGAAGCAAAATCCTCTATAACAAGAGCTAAACTGTATCTAAAAAGGGAATATAACATGAGTTGATATCAAAGAAATCAATATTCAAATTTCAGCTGTAACGATACCAGCTCTGAACTTCAGGGACACAACATGACATTGTTGCTGTTTCATCATCTGTACAATGTGAAGATCTGGCAGTGAAAATTCCTTGGGAGGATAAAATAAAATGGTGTCTATAAAGTGGTGAGCACAGAACCTGACACACAGTATTCAATAGACGCTACTAATTACTATCATAACTGAAGATACAGTAAGGTCTACCCCTCTTCGGCCAATGCCTTCAATTAGAGGTGCATCCATCCATAAAGTTAGCTTTAAAGGAATCTACCATAGTACCTTATATCTTCTGTTAGTTAAAAAAGTGAGGGTGATATTTGAAAATACGAAAAAGAAAAACACTGGTATGATTAAAGTAGATTTTTCTCCACAAGAAATCAAATGGATACTATAATCTATTCCAGTATCCCAATGTTTAAAAAATAAATTTGAATGTTATTAACTCTGTGAACTAAGGAAAATATAATGCCATGTTTAAAAAAAAAGACAGAAACTTACATATAACTTACTCATTCCATAAAAGAATTTATAGCAAAGGAATTTTCAAGAGCCAAAACTGTGATAAACTGGATTAGGCTAACACCACTCCATATTAGATCCAGTTCCCTGCTATGTGGTTGGAAAAGCATCAGAAGATGGTCTAAGTACTTGGGCCCATCAGGGAGTTCTAGAAAGAATTCCTAGTTCCTGTCAACAGCCTTGCCCAAGCCTTGCTATTGTCGCCACGTGAGGAGTGAATCAGCAGATGGATAGTCTTCTTGTCTGTGTCGCTTTTTTAAATAAATAAAAGTGGGGGATTCAATGGGAGAAAACTAAAAGGAATATCCACTCTTTGTAAATCAAAACTGCCACATACTGACTACAAAACTGTATAAAAATTAAACATTGGAAATAAAAATGAAATAAAAATTAAACATCTAAGGCAATACATAATAATATTTATTGAATGTTACATATGTCTTACAGTGTTTTGGTCATTTAAAAATTATGATTCCAGAGGCTGTGCTGTGGTGAGGTGGGTGAAGCCGCTGAAAATGACACTAGCATCCCATCTGAATGTTGGTTCAAGTCTTGGCTACTGTACTTAAGATCCAACTCTCTCCTAATCACACAGAATGCAACAGAAGGCAGCCTAAATATTTGGATGCTGGCCACTGACCTGGTAGGTTTGGGGGGAATTCTATGCCCATGAATGCAGCCCGACCCAGATCCAAACACTGTGACCATTTACAGACTGAAACGCTGGATGAAAGATTTTTTTTCTCTCTCTCTCTGCCACTCAGTCTTTCCAATCAATCATTTTATTCCAAATATCTTATATATTTCATAACAATGAGGCATTAAGCATATATAGCATACAAGTGTTATTATCAACCTTACTTATACAGTATAAATACAGTTAAAGGGTTTGTGTATTTAAAAATACAAAAACATCATGCACTTAAATAATACAGCTTCTTCGGGGGAAAAATTTTACCTTTCCTTCATCCATTGGATTATCACTGATATGGACAACAGGTCCTGGATGAGACTTAGAGGACCTAGATAGAGAAAAAATAATTAAGATTTTTTTCTCAACTAGAAATTTCAATATGGTTACAAATTCACTATAATAAGAATATATGAATGTTAAATAAAAGTATTTCAACAAGTAGCAACACGTGCTAAAACAGATAAGAAACAGAAAAATGGTATGAATGTCATGTGTACATAAATTTAAAAATTTACAACTAAGTGTACTTTGTGTATGGAAAAAACATCCTTAATTCTGTTGAATTTCATTAGACAAAATCTGTTCCCTAGATACTATTCCCAAATTTTTAAAAAAGTTCAGTAGCTAACATTTTATTATTTTATTTTACTCAGTTCTAGCCTAAAATTATAGCTATTCTTTGAATTCTGTAGTTCATATCAGACTCAGGAAAAATTCTTTAAATTAAACAATCTATTTTCAATGCAAACGAAAGATACATATTTGAAGTAAAGGATATGTTAATTGTCCTGATTTGCCAATCATTACATATTGTTATCTTCCAATGAAACAAAAACAGTAATTTAAGGGTTAATGCAACAGCTAGCAAATTAAGCCTCTGCCTATCGACCTGAATTCCACACAGCTGCTGATTCAAGTCTGGCTGCTCCACCTCCAGCCCAGCTTCCTGTGAATGTGAGAAAACAGTGGAAGACAGCCCAAATGCAGGGGTGCCTGCACCCATAAGGAAAACCCGGAAGAAGCTTCTGCCCCCCTGCAGCCCAACTCCGGCCACACAGCCACCAGCCAGCCAGGAGATGGAGGATCTGTACCTGCTTCTCAAATAAAAATGAATAAATATTCTTAAAAATAGTCATTTAAAAATAAACAAAATAAAGCCTCCTATTCCTGATTAGAGAAAAAGAATTGACACAGATAAGAACATGCGTTAAGTGATGCCCATTTGGTAAGAAACAAAAAACATATCCCTATTCATAACTGAAGGCTGAGGCTTTACTCCACTTTATCAGAAAGCTGCACCAGATATACCCACTAGATGTCGTGATTTACTCAAAGAACAGACTGTAAATCCACACTCCCAAGGGACTGATTAGGATAACACCCCTGTCACAGGAAGGAAAACTAGCTTTATAGACTGTTAAAGTTACATCAAAACATTAGGCAAGAGATACATAATGCTATAAACTTATTCTCATGCTGAAAAGATACAAGATTATTAAAACACACTAAGCACTTTGTAAATCAGTTTCCTAACTACTGGAGGCAATTCATTTGTGGATCTTGACCAGCGTTTCCAAGACAAATCATAAGAGAACAAATACAGAGAGTTTTTTCACCTAGTTGGAAAAAATTACCATTTCATTGAATTTATGCTACAACTCATATGCATGTGAACATATGCATATTTATATATGCATACATATATATCTATGTACATAAACAAACCATTTAAATCTGCAAACTACTGAGTCAGCAGGGTAGTATTTACAGACTATTAAGCCTGCATTTCATGTTAAGAACATCTGACATATTTAATTCGGATGGATTTACAGACTTGCTATTTTGTGATATTGTAATATTGGATACTGATATTTTCAGATATGGAGTATTTGCTCAAACTCACAGTTCAATGGCTTTATTCCACATGATGACGTAGCCTGAGAGCGTGAAGGACTCCACGTTGACAATGTGTATATTACCTCTTTCAGTGCCCACATAGAGCCACTTACTCTGGAAAGGGAGATGGCAAAATGTAACCCTGCAAGAGAAAATATATCCAAAGCAGAAAATATAAAAATATGTGTCAATTTTGCTGACTGTATTATAGGGTTAACCGTGAAGATAGGCAAGAATGATGCACATTCTACTTAATGTGAATACCATTTAACATTAATTCAACTTACAATCAAACCTAAGACCTTTTTAAAGTAAACAGCATGGCATGATTTGAAGAAGATGAATTCTGAAGTTAAAATGATTTTCAAATCTTGCTGTAACATCTACCAATTGTGTAATCTGAAGCATACCACAAATTTAACCTATAAGTCACAAGCCATGGCTCCAATACCTATCTTATTCCTGAGTACCACTATGTTTCTGAAGAATCACCAAATGTGTTAAATCCATCTCACTCCTCCCCATTCAGATTTTTCTTCTAATTTCATCTCAAATATTACTATCACTCTAACATTCCAATATGTGTACATATATATGTTTATGTATATCTATCTATTTCTCAGTCAATCAATCAAGTGGGCTTGCCTTGTAAGAGAGAGCCACTCTTCCTTAATAATTCATAAGCAACTGGCAAAGACAATGTTTAGATGTTTCTGAAGTGTAACTGGATTTTCCCTTCTGCATTCTGAAGACAAGTGAAGCTTTCAACAAAAATTATACTAATTTCCATGCATTCAACAAAACATACCAGTATTCTAACAAGTTCAGACATTTTATATCAGCTCATTTCAAGATAAAAGCCAGAAACAGTCTTGCCCTTTGGTTGCACCGATTTTTAGTAAACCAAGCGTTATAACACACAGTGCTTCTCTTGATAGAGATGATATATATGTTTTTCAGAATCAAATTTCAATGGACTAGCACTTCAAAAACACACAATGGTCACAGCTGGACTGCTAATCCTAACATTAGGTATTGGATAAGACAGACAATACCAAATATCGCTTATTCCCAATAACACACATTCATTACAGTAACTATTTGACAACACCTGTTACATAAATGTGCATGCTTGTGACACAGCAAGTTAAGTTGCTTCTTATGATTTGTGACCCATTATGGATTGCTGTTTGTTCTGGCTGTTTCAATTCTGATCCAGCTCTGAAGATAGCCCCCATACCTGAACCTCTCCCATTCAAGCGGGAGTCCCAGATGGAATTCTGGGCTCCTAGCTTCAGGATGTCCAGTGCTAACTGCTGTGGCTATCTGGGGAGGGAACAAGTGGATAAAAGATCTTGCTTTTCCGCTTTCTGTCTTTCCCTCTCTCTCTGACACTCTTAAAATAAATAAATGTACATACAATAATTCTTACTCTTTTTTAGAGGCAATATTCAATTATTTGAGACAATTTGTTATAATTACTCACTCCTATTTTTGTTAAACATTCATTACATATGATCTCTTTCTAAAGGACTTATGACAAGATAGGGACATGTCTAGTGAAATAACAAGACACTTTATGATACCTTATCACTTCATCTTTTCTTAAAAACATCAGGGTGATATAAGCTTCAGAATTCAGAACTTTTCCAGATTTTACATAGGAAAGTACATAACACATATTTTATATAATAACAGCAACCCATAAAACATGTCAAATACTTCTCATGTATAATTTTCAATAATTTTAAAACATTTAAACATACATCTATCATGTTAGTGAATCATTCCATTCCTAAATTACACCCAATAAAAAGGAAACCATGTATTCACACAGAACTTGTCCACAAATGTTCACTGCTTTGCCTGTAAACAAGTGAACAAGCTGTGTCATATAATTAGACTGGAATCCTAGTATATGTCAAATGATAGAATCACTTATACAAAGTATGAGATTGATTATGCCAACTAACAAAATCAGGCATTCCTGTTTTGCTGCCTTTTATTACTAGCTACCAATTCCATTCCATGTCTCCAGAAGAGTTACTCTCTAGGTTTTTACAGCCAAGAGAAAAACTCTAATATCATTTTACATGTCCAGGAAGAGAGGCTAGGAAAACAAAGTGTGCTAAATTTGGTCACTTGGCACATAGCACCTATTTTCACATCTTCCTGTGTGTCTTCCCATGATGCACTGCAGATGCTAGAAAGCCAATATTTAAAATTCCCAGGTTCTCCTGCAGGTAACAATGCTAGATGAGATTTTACTGTACTAACTGGATGTGTTTGGGCAAAGCCCATCTTGCTGCTGTTTCACCTGGGGATGTTTAAGCACACACTGACAGCAGCAGCGGGTACTAGACAACAGCACTCGAAAGTCTCCCCGAAACTGAATGTGGTAAGAGATGTTAACCTTCAAAGCAGCATCGTTTTCTACTTCCTGGACTGCAACCAAGGCAATATGAACTAAAATCCAATGGGTGTAGCATCTTCCCAAACATGTTAGCAAAAGTTAGCCCACCATATTAAACTGCTTTATGCCTAAAATACCTATTGTTAAATTTGTTCCTACATCGAATCCTGACTGTAAATGTGACTAATCTGCAACTTACCTACATGGATGCTGGTCTATAGTGATGAGAAATACTCACTTACATTGCATCTTGTTCTCAAAATGCTACTTAGTCATTCAAAAATCTAAAGCCAGAAAAGTTTTAAAAGTGAACGTTTTCATCGTTGTACAGAGGGACTTTCATAAGGTAGCCCTTGCTTACTTTTTCAAAATTATCCTTTCTGAACCACATCCAGCAATGTCTAACTACACTGCCCTGAGCATCTGAGAACGCTTCAAGACTTCCCATCTTGCGACACAATGGAAAGCCCTTTTGCCATCTTTCAGTGTAGGGAATGCTCATTAATCCAGCAGGCCTGCTAGATTCATAAATATATTAAATATAATAGCCATCAACTGAAAACAATTTATGGACCTCCTAAAAGAACTTCCATTTTAATACATAGTCCCATTTATTTTTTTCTGATAAACTGTTACAGATAATTCAGAAAAATCATCCTCAGACCAAAACTCAGCAGTATAATACAAATGCTTCATAAATTATGCTTAAGAGTCTTACAAGCTTTTCACATTTATAATTTATTTAATATATGCCTTATTAACCACAAATATTTATAATAACCTGAGAAACTTACAGAAATATGTCCAAATAAATTACAATATTAACCACTCTTGTAATATGAGATTTTGGTAATATAAACAGTAGTAGTATCAAACAAGAAAACAGTGTCAGCCATAGGAATAATTAAAATCATCTAAATAATGATACCTGTTCATAGAGAATTTCTTAAAGTTCTATATTTAATGATCTTGGAGAATGAGGATGCCAGATGTTTTTACCCAATAAATGTTGAGGTAAAATGAAGCAACCTGGTATTCATAAGTAATTGTTCATTACATTGGTGTGTGAAAAGTCCTAGTATTATCTGTTTTCCATTTTATAAATGTCATTTATTGGATAACTGTATTCTGTGTATCTTTTACTCTATAGCTCATGTCTTCCTCACTATTGAAATTTTTCAAAATTTTTTAAAGAAGTTTTTCTCTTTCACTCATACTTGTGTATTTTATATACTTACTATCTAAACTTATTTTTCAATGACCTTATTTTATCGTTTGTCTTACCTTTGCACCAAATTTGTTCTCCCCATGTTTTATCGAGGGCCTAGAACATATTTCTGTATTTTCCTTCATATTCATAAAATAAACAAGATACAAGAAATTCTTGAGAACAAAAGGTGTTACTTTTAAAAAGGAAAATGTTGTATGAATTATCCAGATTCAGGTGTTCCTATACACCAGTATTTAGTGAGTGAGCTTTGTTAAAATTTTGATAACAAGCGTCAGTGTTGTGGCCTAGGCAGATAAGCTGCCTCCTGGGCTATCCAGAGGTTCCAAATGCTACTTCAACTTCCAGTCCAGTTTTCTTTAATGCACCTTAGGAGGTAGCAGACACGAGCTCAAGTGCTTAGACCTTTGTCACACACATGGAAGGCATAGACGGAGTTCTAGTTCCTGGTTTCAGCCTGATCCATGGGACAAGAACCAGCCAACAGGAGATATGTCCATCTCTGCATTTTTCCCTCCCCTAAACTCTGCCTTTCAATTAAAGCAAAGAAAAAAAAAAGATTTTAAATTTTAATTAAAATAATATTGTATTAAGGATTGTTAGGTCTAGCAAGTTACACTTGTAACAAATTGTTGTTGTGGCCTAGCAAGTTAAGCCTCTACCTGCAGTACATTCCATAAGGGTACAGATTCCAGTCCCAGTTGCTCCACTTCCAATGACTTCCTCCTTATGACTTGAGAAAGCAACAGAGGATGCACCCACCTGGGAGAACTGGAAAAAGCTCCTGGCTCCGAGCTTTGAACCAGTCTAGTCTCGAACACCACAGCCATCTGGGAAGTGAGGCAGTGGATGGGAAGTGTGTGTCTCTCTAACTTTGCATCTGTTTTTCCAATAAAAATAGATTTTCCAAAAAAAATAAAGAGGATTAATTCAGGGAGTAGCGACATGTTAGAAATTGAATATTTCTTCTTGTAAAGTTCACTTTTTTGTCATTAATTTTTCCTCTAAAGTTTGAATAATTTTTCCAAATAGAATTTATATTTTTTACATAATTTATGAATGATTTGCTATCTTTTTCATTCATTAACTTTGAAACTTTAGGTAATCATGCATTAGACTTTAACAGCTAAATTTTGTTCAACAATTAAACAAATTTGAAAATGAAAAAATTTTGGTACATGAACTTGGTACATATGCAGTAATTTTGGTTACTAATGGTAAATTTTTTCTTCTTCCTAAAGAAAATTGTTTGAAAGTCAGAACTGCAGAGAGCAGAGATGGAGAAAGCTTGCATCCACTGGTTGACTCCCTAAAGGCCACAATGGCCAGAGCTTGACCAGACTGAAGTAAGCAGCTAAAAACCCCATCCAGGCTCCCTACGTAGATGGCAGGGGACCCAAACGCTGGGCCATCTTTTACTGCTTTTCCAGGTATATGAGCAGGGAGTGTAATAGGAATGGAGTAGCCAGGACAGGAACCAGAGCCCATATGGGATGTCAGA